ACATTAAAATGACTCCATGGAGCAACTCCACAGGAGGTTTCAGATGACTGGCTCAATTTGTTGCATTTTTTATGAGAGTTATAAGACGTGCTCTAAATGTCAAGCCCACCTGGAGTCTATGGGGAAAGTTGTTGACGACATTCCCCCACAGAAATGGCCCTAATTTTTCTGGTCTCTATCTTCAGGTGTTCTATGGTTTGGGGGATAAAAATCTAGAGGCTTTATGTCAGGCGAATGTGGTCTAATGGAACCCAAAAGTGGGCCTGCAATGGAATGGATGACATTTAGAACACATATTGTGATGTTTATAAAAGTGCACCTAGTTGGGCCAGTCATCTGAAATTTCTTGTGGAGTTGCTCAGTAAAGACCTTTCCAATAAAGAAACCAATAACTATGACTTCATTGTTGGACCATAAAGAAATGGATCTTGTTGCTTTCAAAAATATTTTAATGATAAAATAACAAGTACATCGTAACAAAAGTCACCAATGGTATTTGAGAGTCAAAACAACATCTATGCAACTGATACTCATCAAGTACTGTACAGGGTGACTCAAAAAAAACAGAACCCTCTGAAAGTGTAATAATTTCTTAAATACCTCTCCTATCAACCTAGTTTTTTATGTGCATAAACTAAAATCTATGGATGATAATATAATACAAAGGTTGTTTCATAAAATTGATTATTTGTGATATCATGGATGATCTTAGAATGTGCAGATTTTTTGAAAAATCAACATTTTGACAAAATCATATCTCAAGATTTTAAGAGAAATTCAAAAGAAATTCCAAAGAAGACATAAACAGATAAAATCAAAGTCTCATTTAATAATTTAAATGGAAAATGAAGAATTAGCAATGGTTAAACACCTAGTAAAAATCAGATGACTGAAATTCCTGGCCTCTGAGCAAGAACACCTCAAACGCTATACAAAATTCTGTTCGAAGAATGCTCAAGAAATCATTCTGACAGCAGAATGATCAGTCTTTGTGCACTGCATGACATGTGGTATCAAAGTCAAATAGTTGGAAAAGGGAGAAAGGAGAACTGTTAAACACCTGAATGGAAAAAAATGATTAATTTACACCTATCCGGGAGGTTTCTAAGAATGGGGTTATGAAAGCACTGTGTGTGATTGCATTGAACGCAGTTCCAAAAACGTCACTCAGAAGGTACAGTCATACCTAAAGATGGCTTATAGTTTGCTAGGACATTTCCTCATTAATGATCTGAACCCCTATACTCACAAAATGTAGCTTAACAAGAAGCTAAAAGAATATGATTGGTTTAAACAAATGATGTGTCGAAAGTGGGCACATTTTTAAATTGACCACAAGAAAAAAATATTGAATCTTATGTAAAGAATTAAGTCTCACATTGTCATCCATAGATTGTAGTTTTTGTTCATGAAAAATGAAGCTGATTACATGTACATATGTATTAATAAAAAAGTTATTTCATTTTTGGAGGGTTCTGTTTTTTGGGTCACCTTGTAGATTGGGTTAATTTGCTACTAATTTGGCGATTTTCTCTTTTTTGGGATATTGACAGCTATTTAATTTGGTGGACACTAGAGCTGGGACATTGCTCTGATATGCCACAACTTCCATATTACTGGTCAGGCCCACAGCCAACTTTTGCCAAGGGGGGAGGGGGTCGCTTTTCAGAAAAATTCTAGGCAACTCCATGCAATATGTAATGGGATTTTTTGACAAACTTGTCATGAATTAGTGTTTTTTCTATCAGTATTGACAAGAGATGTGCCCATCATGAGCCAATTTAGAAGTAACATTTTTTGTGGACAGTGTTCACTGGGTGGAGTTTGAAAGGTGGGTTGGTGTCTGTAACAAATGGCAGGTGGTGACATTTTGCATGTTTATACCTTGTTCCCTTTTATTATCTCAGTCATGTTTCTTATTATGCGATTGGTTTAACATGCCCCAAATGACATAAAAATATCCTGCGATAAATCCCAGCGATACTTTCTGTTCATTGGAAGACTGGGCCTCGTTATGAAGTGGGAATATTTCCTACATTTAGTTTTTAAAATCCCTCTCCCTTTCTTTCTACTGAGTGAGAATTATGACAGCAATAAATAAAATAAAACAAATATTTCATTCTATTTATGGGAAATACAACAGTGTAACTCTGGAGGGCAAGGAATATTACTCAAGAGAGATGCAATTATTCCCCTCAATAAAATGAAATATTCATATAATTATAATAACAAACTACACAATCAAAATAATATTGCCAAACTTTGGTATATTAATCATTCTTATTCTATTCAAGGGTGTGATATTTTTATTCTTTGTGTTCTTATTTCTTTAAACTTATGTTTCTTAACATATTTGATTACCATATGACTATATAACTAATATAATACAATGTACATGTAATTACATATAAATATAACTATTTACACTAAATAAGCAAATGCCTTGGATTATAAACAAACACATTTTCCTGCATTTGTTCATCAAATAACTGATTACAAAAAAAGAATATAGTCTGATATACAACTTTGTAAAGGAATGGAAAGCTTAGTCTATGTGCTTAGCTACACATTTTTAAGAGAACTTGTACATGAACATGAAATATTATAATCCTAAGGATTACACTCTATCTTGCTCAATTAGTTTTATCAAGGACTAAGCTTCAATTTAACAAGGCAAATAAATAGAATACAAGTAGAAAAAAATAATCTAAAGCCTAGTAAATCTTAAAGATGTAAATTAAAGTGATGCAAAAATAAATTGGGATACATTATTCAATTAGTAAACCATTTGAAAGGGGTAGAGTATTGGTTGGTTTGTATAGATGAGACCATTTGACAGATAAGTAGCCAGTCCAAAGCGAAACACCTGTTGAAGTGGAACACCTCTGTTAGTGGAACACTTCAGAGTCCCAAGACCAACTGACTTAATGTTAAATGAACCTCTGTAAGTGGAACACCTCCAAACGGGAATACCTTTTAGAAGTACCAACGGTTTCCACATTTTACTATACATAACATTGTCTCCAAAAGGAGAAGCCTTTCAGCTTGATATCATCCCCTGCCCATACATCTACCTAGTCTCCTTAACTAGTATAATAGTCTGATCTCAGGCCATATATATCAAACTGAACCCCATTCTACAAATCTGGTACTGTAACACACCAAATATGGTGACATATTGTTATAGTCTCCCCACTTTTTATGTGGACATTGTTCAGCAGGCAGCGTTCGGCACCTGTTACAAATGGCAGGTGATGACATTTTGCATGTCAATGTCTAAGTATTTTACAGGAAAAAAGTCATTTTGACTTTGGGGCTATTCAGCTGTTATTGCACCCCTCCCTTAACATCTAAATCACCAGATCAATAGGCATCTTCCTAAGCAGGTATCCAGAATCCGTATCTCCTTCTTCCCCCTGCTATAACCAATTTGGAAGCACCCGATTAAACTGAGTCACGTGATCTAATTGTGCGCAATGACTTATACATGATTTCTGTCGCAGTGTTGCGACAGCCAATCAGATTGCGAGTTCTTAATCGGGGAAATGCTAACTGCTTATCGCAGGGGGTAAAAAGAAAGAATATATTCTGGATTTTGAAGCCCTGTGATCGGAGGATGTCAATAGGAGACCTGAATGTCTCCTATAATTCTTGCTTATCAATTACAAATGAACTGGCCATTAACTGATTAACTGCTACAAACATCAGCAGCATGACTTATAAGGAATAAAGAATCCTGTATTATTCTTTATAGGAAATTTAAAAGCATGAGTTTGTGTACTGTTCCGTACACATAGTGCATGAGGGTTGAGTACATTATCAGGATGGGTAAGTAAATGCATTAATGCTTTAAAACCCAATGAAGAATGATACATGGTTCTTTACTGCAATCATACTACACTACTATAAAATAATGTTTCTGCTTAGTTGACCATACACCTTGAATCAATGGATTGAAATACTCTAAGCTGATTGGCTGAGACATACATGGCATATTTGAAGACCCTAACAAACATATTCAGACATTCTTTGTAGTTTGGAAAAGGCATCAGCGCTATGCTTGTCACAGACCAATCAGAATAGAGATTTCAGTCTTGGGGTATTATTTACCCCAAACATGATTTAACACTCTGTCAAACTGTTGCTTTTATCTAAGTCAGTGATCCTCCCAGGATTTTGTCTCAAGTAGATGCAAAATTCTCATTATCACAATTTACACTGAAATTGGTCAAAATATGCCCACTTTTTATGATTTGTCTCATTTTCAAGTGAGTACAAATGAATTTTCAAGTGGGTGCAAGCCTTCTTTTAAAATCTCAGGTGGGTACTGCGATCACTTGCTTTAATGCTGGGGAGATCATTGTAGATCATACACTGATTAATTTCTTTTATTTCCTTTTCAACTGCCTTAATGGACAGTCAACTACACTTTGCACATACTAGATTCTTTAAAAATCAGCGCATCTACATTGTATGAATATGATATAATCCTTTAACAGCAGAACCAGATCTTTAATCTAGTCTTACAAAATAAGATAAGACCTTATAGTAAAACCTGTCTTAGTGAACAACCCTCTCTAGTGAACACCTGTCTCTATTGGACACACTAGATACTCTACTGACTTCTGTATAAATTACCCTCTCTGTAGTGAACACCAGCATTTTTTCTTGGCAAAAATGTTCAATATACACATGTTTTACTCTCGATCAATAAAAATCAAGCTGCCAATTATAATATTGCAATCACAAAATGTTTTATGCCTCAAAAGTAGTCGTCATTTATTTCTTATTTCATGATTATATTCCATGACGACTACCTTAGGAGTAACTATTAAGATCTTATCAGCATTAAAACTGTGTCCACATACAGTAAAACTTGTCTAGTGAACGGCTGTCTCTAGCTGACACCATTCCTCCGCACATTACAAACATGTACTCCACTGTATGAATTACCATTTTTGTAGTGAACACCTGCCAACAATGAACAGCAAAAAAGTTCAATATACACAGGTTTTACTGTACATCTTTTTTGCAATTTCAAGCATAGTATTGGACTTTAGGGTAACTACTAATCAGCCTTTGCTTTAATTTGTTATTTCTATTCTTCAGAATTCCTTTAAATGTCCAATGAGCCATCCATCATATAAAAAATCGTCACGAGGAAATATGATACTGTTGGTCTGAGTATTGGATATTATACTTGGTGTTCTTATTTTCCTTAAGCAGTTTAGAGAACAGCATAATGTTAGAGTTCTGAAACTTTGAAAAGCCTGAATACTAAAAACTTCCCATCAGAAACCCCATTATTTTTGCTCAGTTACTGTAATGTATTTAATGTAGGAAAAAGTTCTTGGCCCTCTGGGGGCAGTTATAAGTCTGGTGATCTTCCTCATGGCACAATGTACAGAATCTCCTTGCAGATCCAAAACCTGTCCTAGGCCTGGAGAATGGGTTTGATGAAGGATTATATTGCGGTAGAGATGGCAGAGGTGTTTCTTGCCCATACTCTGGTGATTGATGGTAGTCCATGGCTGGGTTAGGGTTATACTCTGATGATACAACATCAGAGTTTGGAGTAGGGGGGAGATAAGAGCGAGGGCTGGTAATTTTGGATGGTTCAGCTCCAAGAGGGGGAAACTCACTCTCATCTATGGGGGCCTCTTGGGGCTTAGGGGGAGGAGGGTTAACATGTCCTGCGTAGGTATCCGGGGGTGAATTCACAAGTACTGGGTATGAAATTTCCCCAGAAGACCTCTTTCTTCTTCTGCCCTCATCACTCTGTTGCCGTTCTCTTGAATATGCACCCTCCTCTTGTGAAACGCCATCCTCTGTATTTGTGGATGCAGCAGGATGGCTAATCCAATCAGCAACTAGAGACTTTATTGAACCAACCGCAGCTTGGGGGCGATTAACTTCCTCAAGATTTTTTGAATTTTTCCTCTTTTTGAGCACCACTGGCTCCGTTTTATGGGAGCTAGAATATTTAGCCTTCTCAGGTTGCGTAGGATTATCCTTGAGCTTAGCAGCATAGGAATTGGAGCTGTAATACTGATTATTGTTCTGGTGATTGTCTTGTTCATGAGCCATATCCTCATATTGTTCAGACTGATTCTTAATCTCTTCAATTTCTTTTTGGCCATTATGCTGATCCTTTTCAATGTCATTATGAGATCTACCACTGGTAGGTCTATTATATTGTTCCTGCTCCTTTACATACCCTCTATACTGCAGGGTCTGATCCATGGCCATATCATCTTTACTGCCTGTTTTATAGAAAGGAACATCCGGTTGTCTATCTGGGATAGTAGAATGAGGTCTCTGCCTGCCAGACATCCAATATGGCTCAGAGTAGTCTACTACAGGCTTAGATTTCTGCTGATTAGATGCATTCATAAATCTATCCTGCGAATAAGACTGTGATTGTTGGTTTTGATTAGGTGGGGATGTCCCAAAGGGTGCCATTCGAAAACCTGGTGGTGACTGTGAGCCTATTTTCTTCCTAGATTCATTCCTCATAGATTGCATGGTCTCGTATACAACATCCTCTGGTACACGTGCACTTGGAGATTCTGGTGACTTTCCGGAGATCATTCCTTGCATGGTTTCATTGTTCAAATAACTTGGTGCAAACAGTTCTTCAGGTGGGTTCTTGTACAGGGAGGATTCCTTCTTGGCTGGGATATTCACAGGCTGACGACTGGAGCCATCTGAAGGTCTGGAGTAAGATTCGTATGGCCTGGATTTCCTCCAATCTGACTCTGATGTCTCACTGGACCTGTTGTTCCTTAGAGACCGAGGATCTGCTCTCTGGTCAGGGGGTGTATTTCCTGTTTTATATTGGTTTTGTCTCTTACTATTGTTGTTATGAGTCTTTGGGTAAGATTCATGTGCAGAATTTGATTGCCTGGAGTTGCTCAGTAGTTTGCTTGCAGATAGGACTGCCTCTTCACTTGGTAGCACAGAGGCAGCAGATGTTAATACTCCTTTTTGTTTAGCATACTCATCTGGTTGTTTACCAGACTTTTCAGGTTGTTTTGCATAGTGACTGGGTTGCTCAGACTGATAGCTAGACTGATCCTCTTGTTTGGCATACAAATCTGGTTGCTTAGCATAGGCAGATTTGTCTAGTTGTGTCATAAACTGCTCTGGTTGTTTAATATACCCAGACTGCTCCTGCTTTCTTGCATATTCTCCAGGCCCCTTGTCATCATATGGTGACTTGGCTCTGTGCAGAGCTCTTTCTCCTTGGGCAATTTTAGCTTTGGCACTAATTGAAAAGGCATCAGGGGTGATCAAGTCTATATTGTTTGACTTAGAGGGTAGAGGAGCCATACTGGATACTGGGGCGGTATTCTGCACTTGTGGTTCCAGGGATGTGTGGCGTGAGATCTGTGGCTCCTGTATTGTTTGTTGAGTGGGCTGTGGTGGGGGTTCTACGGAGACGTGACGTGGAGGTGTACTATACATGGAGGGGGTAGATCTGCTACTGCTACTACCTGAAACAGAGATTTATATACGGATAATAAATCATTCATTAAAATTGATTTTTGTAACCATTCAAAACAAAAATTAATCTGGCAGCATTTGGTAAAAAATAATTTTTTCAACTATAGAAAACAAAAATATCCAAAGTACATTGGTTTTTTTATTACTAAAATCAATGAAACATATTTACAGGTTGTAGTGGCTATGACCCCAAAAAGGGAGTATTTATATATAATATTATAGCTTAATAATCTAACTTCCAATATAAGTGGATAAAATTCTGTATTTTTAATATCTTTTAAATGTTTCACCCAATTTTGAATACTTTAGCACACATTTACGTCAAGATTGTACTCTAATATGACAAGTGATACATAGCAGACATAGGGCCAATCATAATATGTACTATATACAGATGTTTATATCCAGCTTCCAGGTTATTTATACTTGAATAACAAAGTGCCACTTTAATTTTAAAAAAAACAGTAGTATACATATGATGTCCATTAATATTGAACAAACCTGATTGTTTGGTGAGATACATCTTGATTTCCATGATGTGACCAATTCTAAAACCACATTCCTTCAGCAAATCTTTCAGTTCATTAGCATCAAGTTCAAGAACTGCATCCTGGAAGTATAAGAGTCAATCAAAAAATAACTCACTGTTGGGTCCTTCATCAATTTTACTCTGTTCCGACCCCGTGTTCAAATAAGTGAATATTTATAACATCACATGTGTACTGTCTTATTCAAATTTTTGGAGGGAGGCCAATAATATAACTTTACCTCAGCCTTCCTACTATGTCAAAAAGTGTTACATAAATATTATGCAAATAAATAAATCTTAACCTTAAAAAATATATTCAACTTTGAACAATGTATGTATTATCTTTAGACAAAAAGTTCTTCAAATCTGTACTCACTCGTATCCCAAATTCCTCAAATTTCTCAAGCAGATGTTCGAGTTTCAGGTTTTTCAGCATAGCTTTGATATTAGCACTAGGGTCCCAGTCTACGCTATCAGTAGAATTGTGAATGCTAACACTTTCTTTTGACTCACTCAAGCCTGGAAATATAAAATGAGCTCCATGAATTTTTGCAAGTTTGCGACTTTTTTAAAACTATTTGGGTAAAAAAATTTCTCGGGCACATTAGAGACTGTATGTGTCACACTTTTCAGCAGCTGATAATTAGAATGTTCTTATCATGAGACAAGTCCAAATATCTGGTCTAAGTTATTTTTCTCAAATTTTGTATCAAGTGGAAAATATTGCATTGAAACACAACTTGATATTTGTGCTTCCTTTCTTCAGCAAACAAAGCTCTTACATACTTTATATATATAATCATTGATCTCAACATGATTTTTTCTCAAGTGGGTGCAAAATTCTCATTTTCACAATTCAGACCAAAATTGGTCAAAATATGCCTATTTTTCTAATTTTCAAGTGGGTGCAAATAGATTCTCAGGTGGGTGCAAGCCTATTACAGTATTATCAAAATCTCAGGTGGGTGCTGCGCCTACTTGCTTTAATGTTAGGGAGATAACTGATAATGTCTAAATCAATGCTTTATGTTACCACTGATGATCTCACCTTCTTCCCCAACAGGGGGATCTGTTTGTGATGATGTAGTAACACTCTCTGTCTCACTTGGAGGTGCAGACATCTCAGTTTTCTCTTGGTCAAATTGATTCTTTTTACGCTGTAGAAGTACTGCAAGTAACTCCTCCCGCACATGTCTGAAAAGTAAAAACAAAATATATTTATATAGTTTCAATGCAAATGATTAGAACAATTAAACAGTAAAACCTGTGTAAGTGGAGCACCTTTGGTACCTATCAAGCATTCCATCTGGGAGGCGTCCCACTTATAGAAGCTTCTTTAACATTAATTCAGTTGGTCTTGAGACTCTGAAGTGTTCCACGAACAGAGGTATTCCAATTCCAGATGTGATCCACTTTGCAGGTTTCACTGTATTTGAAGGATAAAAGAGTGAACATTTAAGGCATCTTTTTAACTACAAATGCACAAATTCAAATGTACGTTATTACAATTAATAAACTTTTAATTGTATGATAAAAGACTTGTCAAATGCAATTATAGGATTACAATTTGTACATTTCTTAAAGTAACTTTTATCAGTATAGATTAATTCAAAGAAGTCTACTCTTGCTTGACTCATTATATAACATTGAAATATAACTACAATTTCACAGATATAGCACATGCGAGATACCTTGGCAAATCTTCATCCAATATCTTTTCTTGCAGCTCTTCAAACCATGAATCTACCTCCAATGGGATCGCCATTTCTAAGTAGGCACCCGCAGTGTTGTAGAGTATTTGGAAACACCTGCCATATAGATTATATAGGGCATTTGGGTTGGTATGCTGTTTCTATAAAACAGAATGAATAACAATGCATTAACATAACAGAATATCACCACCTGCAAATAGATACAAAAGCTGAGTTAGAATTATAACATTATGCCAATGTCAAAAGCTTACTATGAATTAGTCACAGTGAGCATACAATATTTGCTTTTACAATATTAACCAAAAAATGTACACGTATGTATGTAAGAGGACCGTACAAAAGATAAACACTTCCTTCCAGCTAATCATATTGTTATAACTCACCCTTTTATTGAATAGAATCCACTTTTGGGCACTTTGTATCAGACACATCTCAATACCACTTCTGAAACACAGAAGATTTTCAACATATTTTACTTATAATGGCTCACTTAAACCTGCACATCGCTCCAAAACGCAATATGTTGACATATATTGTTTTTACATTTTTAAGCTCTAATAATTATAAAGTTTATGTAAATAAAAATTGTTTTTTTCTGCGTTATATCAAAGAACAATCATTTAGTTAAAAAAAATAAAAAGGCGAATACGGGATTCGAACCCGGGCCTCCCGCGTGCTAAGCGAGAATTGTACCCCAAGACCACCGTCTTCTTATGAATGTTGGACGTAATTAAACGTTACTTATTTTGAATGCTATGATTCGGAAGTGACGTCACGTTCTTCATTTAGAAATTTTTCCAAAATCATATCGTCGGCGCCGATCGAAGCAATTCAATGAATAATCTTTGAAATGACACATTTATCGTAAGTATTTCTACACAAGATTTGCCCCATTTGTTCATCATTCTATAATCTTTCATTAAGCTCAAAATGATAAAGTTCACCCCCGAAACAACCCGAGATTGCGTTTCGGAGCGCAGTCCAGCTTTAAGATTCACTTAAAGACCAAAATCCAGTATAAAAGAAGAGGGGGTTGCTTGGAACAGCCAAATATGTCTGTTTAAATACCTTCTATTTACAGAAACCAGTAAATTTTTATTGTTTTTTAGTCATTCTCGGTAAATTGGCTTTTGTTTGTTTTGAAACTTGTTGTGGATATTTATGAACATTTGGAGACGACAAAAATGTAATCAGTTTGGTGAAATATTATTCTAATTTTGAATAAGAACATGTCAAAGTTTTTTAAATGCTACTTAATTATGTTCAGTAGAAAAGTTCAAAATTTGAATCCGACCAATAGCATCATCCACAGCTAGGGTCAAAGATCAGATTTCGGGTCAAGAAGGGTTCAAATAAACAAAAGCAACTTCTACTGCCAGCTGATTGGTCAGCTCTTAATGGGTATGTTAACTGGCTCTATAATTAAAACACCCTGGGTTTCTACTTAACAGAAATTTAGGCCTTTAAGCTTTCAACTAATTCTGAAATGTAGAACTTGAAGAAATACAAAATCCTGTTTTGACAAGTAAATTGTTTTGTATCATATTTGGATATTTAATCATTAAGAAACTTCAATCTGGTGAAATATTTGAATTCCAATTTTCAACTAAAAATATACATAAAAGTACTTTTTGGAAAATCATTATGGACTATGAAGTTTAAAGATCACAATTATAAGTTTTAACACAGGGGGCATCCAGTTGTTTGCTCTTGATGGAATTATACAACAATCTAATTGGAAATACATAATGTAGGCTAATCTGTTCAATAACTGGTCCATAGATGTCCATTGTAATTCAATGAATTTACCCAACTTGTTGATTTTGCCTTCATTCTTACCCAGTGTGTTGATGTGACGTGTGCCACTGTTGAACATAGCAGTAGAGTGTGGCAAGAAGAGTACAATAACCCTCAGCTATCAGAATATCACTCTCTTTGTCACTGACCTGCAATGCAATAATTCAGATGAGCATAAACTGTACTGTACTGTACTGTACTGTGCTGTGCTGTACGATACTGTGCTGTACAACAGGAGCAATAGTATAGTGCTATAAAAGCTCACCCTCATGCTCAGTATCTAGTAAAAATCAAATTAGATGATATAAAGTAATCTTTGTGCAGGTTAATGTTTCATCATTATGGATTTATAGTGAAAATTGTCACAACCAGAAGTCCTACTAAACAGATATTTTCAAAAGTCATGGTTTAGAGGTTTTTTATTGTGTTAATCACAAGGAAAGGATTTGATTTAAGAATCCTATCTTCACTGACCTTCACAAAGTCACCTTGGTGATCCCACAAAACACCACTGATGACATCATCAAAGTTTGGGCTGGTTTCTGAAAATGAGAACAACTGTTTATATAAGCTTGGTTACTTTTCAGAATAGAAACACATTTTACCCCTGACAATATCCCCCAGGACATCAAACTGGATTGAGAAATTTACTTTTGGAAAATACATCAAGTATGTTAATGGGTTATTATGGTAAGAGGCTTATTACCCAATACAAATGAAACAAGGCATAATGCAAAATGTCACACTGACCACCAACCACCGAACACCACCAATCATCAAATACAGTCCAGAAAAAAGTTGGAGACTATAACAATATGTCAGCACTTCTGGTGGTAACATGGAAATGCATTTAGGACCAGCTTACCTTTAAAACTGGTGACAATCTGGGCAGCTATGGAATAGAACTCATGATTCAATTTCTCCATGGCTCTCTCTACAATGTCACTTATGCAGAGGTACAGTTCCTTCTTGCCTGGGAGACCTTCAAACATACTCTTCTCTACAACAAGACACAAAGGTTTCTATTCTGATTCTCAAGGATTGTGTATATACAGAAATGCACTATAATATAATAAGCATGATATATAGTAACAAGGCATTAACATGCAATATGTTACCACCCACCATTTAAGACACTGACAACCGATGGCCAAATGCCAAATCCCTTCCACCAAAAATTGGGAACTCTAACAATATATGGTGGTGACATAATAAACAAAATCATTATAGATGCAACAAAGTTGGAACATATTTAACTCTTGAATAAGTTTGCAATACAGTGCTAGCATGTTTATTATTGGTTCAACATACCAGGGTAAACAAGATCATGTAATGCTGAGATTGTTGACTCCACATTGTCCAATGTGACAGTGTTAAGCAGATTGCTGACTTTATGGCCAAACTGAAGACTGTGCCAGTCATATTCATTCTTCTTCTTCTCTTTATCACTAAGTTTATCCACAGGCTCTGGTTTCCTTTGAGAATATATGAAAATTAAATCAATGATCTGATTGATTAAAGCTAAAATCAGAAGTACATGTACAGTGGGTGAGAACTGCAAGTAACATTTATGATGTCACTTTTATCCAATAAATCCTTTGTCCTTTACTATGTGCAAATAGTACTATATGTTGTCCATTCAGATGTTTCCAAACTTAATATGTGATTATTGACAATGATGCTGTTGTAATTACTGTAGATGATGCTGTTGATATAGTGGTTGATTAGGATTGAGAGTAATATATCAAACTTTTTTGATTAATGCAAATTACTATGTGGAGATCACTTTGAGAACTATTGACTACAGACATATTATTTCATAGTTTCATGAATTAACTCTTACTTCTTTGTGATTGGTTGAGCTCGTTCTGTTTGGTTGTATTTGGGAGGTTCAATATCTGCATAGTCACCAGATCCATCATGACTCTTATTTGGACTTCCTCTGTTGTATGCTGGTTTATTAAACCTAAATAAAATAGCATAAATTAAATGTAACACAAGTCAACCTTTAACCATGTCATATTCCGAACTGATATTCTTCATTATTGGCACATTCTCAAACTGTATTTATGGCATTTAAAAACACCAGCAATCTTTTTTGTTTAAATACACATGCAAATTTTTTCTGTCTAAAAGATTCATTCCAAGAATGTAACTTTACCTGGGTGGGGCATTTCTTTCCTTGTACCTGTTCCTGTATTTTCCATCATAATCCTCTCCTTTGTCCTCATCCCTCCAGTGTGTCCTATTGTCACGTGTAATATTAGTTTTTTCACGTTGCTGTGCCAAAAGGGGTGGTGTCTTTTTCCCTGGACGCTGGTAATCATCTGGGGAAGGCTCTCTTAATTTTCTGAAACGTGGTGCAACCTCTTGAGGACCTTTACGCCAAGAAAGAGGTTCTGCAATATCCTGACGTTTTTGGTTTGTTTTCTTGAATTCTTGTTGTGATGGTTTGTTTTCATCTACATAAGGTGCTCTTGTAGGCTTCTTGTGAGTTGATGCAGGGGACTTTGTGGAAACTTTAGCATTTTCTTCAAAACTTTGGGTTTCTGAAATTAAAATAATTTTCTGAGTTTAAGGTTTCTGAAATCAAACTAAATATGGTCATTACACTATTCCAATCCACTGTCTAAACATAAATAAGGTATTGGAGCAGATTGGAGCATCAGAAATAAAGTGCTTCATTTACTCTAAGAGGACATATCTAACATTCTTTCCTTCTTAACTCACCCTTAACATTTTTCTTAGTATGCTGGTAGCATTTCAGTATTTCATGTCAAGACAAAACAGTTCCAATCCACTGTCCAAACACATAAAAAGATTTTGGGAGTCTCAGAGAAGATATTAAACGTTCTCTCATTTTTAACTCACCCTTATCATTTTTCAGTTGAAGTTGAAAGAGCTGCTCTTGTATATTAGGCATGGACCCATCCTCTGTTTCTCCCCCTGGAGGGTAGGGTTCTGAAAAAACAGTAGTTTGGGTGTTTTACATTCACTAAAATAGTTTATGGGATCATTTAGTACAATCTTGCAAAAACATTGTGAAGAGAATACAGTGATAAGCAGCAAATTCTGACAAACATAATGTTTTCCAATATTCCAGGAAAGGGTCTATTTATACAATGCCTTTTGGCAATTTAAGAATTGTATTGTATATTTTACATCTGTATTTTGATTATATTTGGACTAATAAATGAATACAAAAAAATAATATAGGTTTATTCCCTTACAGACTTTGCTATGTCAAATTATAGCAATTTCTAAATTGTACTCACCACTAGGACTCATGGGCTCAACATTCTTGAACATAATCTCCTTCTCGATGTCAACACCAGGTGACGTCTCTTCAGACTTCTGGGTGTCAAATGATGGTTGGCGATTGAATGCATTTAGATTGAATGATGGGATTGCAGGGGGATCTCCAGTCCGTTTTTCTAGAAGGTAAACAATGCCATATTTAATTCATTCTGGATACTGGATGTGTGGTATATTTACATTAAACAGGCTCAGATGAATGGCAATTTTCATTTATTCAAAAATTCTTGATAGATAAAAGGATGGACGGACAGACGGACAAGTGGGTGATTCCATAAGCACACAATGTGAACAAAAAAACACAGAAATAGAACTCTTCTCAATGGTGTCTCCCAATTCATAATAAAAACAGTTTAACTTGCACCATCAATCAAATTATCCTTACTTGATTACTAGAATGTACAAGTAAGTGGTTTAAATTGTTAACTAGCACCCAGTTAAAAATATGATAAATAGTATTGATGTGATTTTTGAGCTGTTAAGATGAACAGCACACAGGGTCCCCAGGGAAGATAGCTTTCAACACAACTCCCCAATCTAGAGTGCACAGTTTACCTGGTGGATATGTTGGTTTCGTGGGTGAGTTCTTAAGCTCTATGGGATAGAAGCCATCAGATTGTGCCAGAAACTCTTCACAAAGTATGTCAGACAAAGCCTTGCCATCCCTAGCAAACAACAAATAGTTTATATTATACATATATACATTGACATTCTTAACAATATTGATTTCACTAGTGTGACTAACTATATCCATGGCGACTCAAAAAGATCCCATGTCTCAACTAGGATGCTCCGAATTCCTCATTCAAGTTGGGTTTTGAATCACTATTTTACTCAAATTCCCCTTTTGCATACTAAGATGAAAATAAAAAGACCAAAATGATATTACAATATCAACACTCACTGATACAGGCATACGCCAAGACCTTGAGCTATATCACCCTGTGGATAGAGATATCCCCGGAGTACACGCTGGTTGACCAGTTCACGGAATCTTGATGTGGCACGACTTATCCAATGTGTAGCAATCTATAAAATATATAACAACAGTTTGTACCGTGAAACTATCACATATACTTTAAGACCAATCAAAATAAATATTTATACTTTAAATAATGTGAACATACATATCTCATCTTTTCTACTTATTCATGATTTTCAAATTATGATGACAATCCAAGAAACTTCAATTTTATTCTGGGGAAAACTGAGTATGGGCATTTGTTTAGCATAAAATGGACCAGGGAACTTCAATTCTAAAAGAGCCACATTTTATCTTACAAATTGGAAAAGATCCATCTTTAAAATAGCTACTTGGAACAGAACATATATATATGAAAGCTTTACATCCAGACTAGATCTTTCTACAATTCAACATAAACATGCAAAATGTCACCACCTGCCGAACACCAACCACCACCACAAAAAGGTTGGAGAGTTTAACAATATGTCCCACTTGTGGTGGTTACATGAAAACATTTTTAGTAAATGTTATTAAAGAATATCTTACTGGTCTGGCTCCCATGAGCCGACATCGTAGTGCCTCTGGGGTCCTCTGGTGTATCTCTGGGGGTATGGTCACACAGATATCCTCCACATTTACTATTTCTGCAGTGCCATAATCAATGTGGAACACATCCACTTCCTCTGTATCACTGTAATAAGATTACAAGGCATTAACATGATAAATGTTACAACCTACCATTTATTACAGACTCTGAATGCCTATCACCAAATGCCAAAAACTGAATACCCAAACTCAATACACAAAAAGTTGGAGACTAAAACAATATGACACCACTTGTGGGGGTGACATGATACTCTAGGCATAAAAGGAACTAGGAATAAGTGTTCATAAATAGGGTATACACAATATATGATGATGGCATTGTATTGAAACTTCAGAACTTCAGCATGGTATCAAATAAAGTGTTTGATATTTTTTCTAATATAAGTTCATTTTAGGCAGTGGAGGTGATATAACATAAAGACACATGTCTATATTTAGTGGTTTCATTTGATTTGATATTCATTCAGTCGATATTCTGACAAATTCAGGCAAATTTATGAAAATAACAGGCAAAATCATTGAAAATTATAATTTTACCATGGAAAGTTTGTAAAATCTTTGAAAACAACGGGACTGGCAATTTTGGAAAAAATTGAAAGAATTAACTTCATCTAATGGAACCCCTGACATCACTTACCAGTTCACAGTTCCCACAGTGGCACGTTTCCATTGCTTTTGATCTCTGCAGTATGTGGCAATAGGTTGGCCAGTAACAAGGTTTTCAACATCAACCTCCACTTGCTGTACACTGTTGAAGTGCTGATTCATATAATGTTCAAACACTGTAAAATCTCTAAAGTCGGCATCTAAAGGTAAAAAAGTGAATGTACTGTAAGTGGACATGTACTTTTTATGTATAAAAATGAAAGAAATGATTTCAATTCATAATTCATAAATATTTATTGATGCTTAGTAATATGTGCATTAGTTTATGAATAACTTAAATTTTATCATGAATTTACTTGAAGATAAAGATAAACAACATAAAAAAGTGTTTGAAATTACAAAAGCATGTAACTTAACTTACCATTAGACACCTGTGCAAAGAAGTTGTGTGGGTCAATTATCTGGGTGACTCTAAACTTATATTCCAGAGCATTATCTTCATCAGATCTAACATTGTTTGTTCCGTGGTTCATAGCGTACATGTGCTTTATGTGGCGGTTCTGAAATTCCCCTCATACGATGTCACCTTTCTCCACAACTTTGCACCCTACAAGCTGACCACAGCTGCCTGGAACTGTACTCTCTTGGGTGTAACTTGAAAATATCTTGTTGGTAACTGGGTAACTACCTATATAACCTACCGATTTCAGAGACCCTAGAATAACAAGAAAGAATTGGTTACAACATTTATATACAGTATTCATTGCGGAGAATCCATTATTAATGTTTCATTAGCATCCATCTCAGTCAAGGGTCTATCTAAACGAAACAAGTGTCAAATACTTTTTTGACTATATTTCTTGCTGATGATTGATTATTCGACATAAAGCCACAAAGACGTTGGTTTTTATCACAAATTCTAACATGACTGTATTGACACCTTCTATTCTGTAAACTGTGAACAAAGTCAACATTTCACCCGGGGTATATTCGCAAACAATACCCCTGGTAATATGAGTAATGTGTGACGTCATAACGGAGGGCCATAGTAATGGCGGACCATAATGAATATTCGAAACATTTTGTTTTCATGTTCAAATTGTAATATAGACCTCAGATCTGGGGTTATATCGTAGAATAGACAAAATTAAAAAAATAAAATTATCTGGTTGGTTTAAACTTACAGTCATTCATGTGCATGTGTGTGCCATATTTTTTTCTAGTCCTTTATTTCATTCTATGGAATTTGTGTTACCAATAGTACTGATAAAAAATGGTGGACCAAATGCAGAATTAACATGTTAAATCACATTTAGACTTTTTTTCATTTAATAACAAATCTTTTGCTTTTGTGCATTCTATCCTTGAGATAACAGGTCTTAGGCATCTGTAGTCAAACCCGCTTCAGAAAGAACAGTATTACGTTTGAAAACCTACCGTTTATCTATAAATATTTAGACTGTAGGCTAGAGCTGGCATTGAATGTCAGAACGGTCGATTGTCAATTGAATGCTCTCTGCGACACCCATGTCGACACAATGCCTCCAGATTGACATTCGGAACTCACAACATAATAAGTTATTTCCCTGTGAATTAGAATCTTTGCCATTGCTTGCAAGTGAAGTTTTACCGCCTGTTCAATTTTTTTTTGTTTCGAACGAATTCCTGCTCTCAAATAAGGTCTCGGGCCCCTCGAGATTAACCCTACATTATAAATAGCTGCCCGGAAATAACAACAGAAATCGTGGTTTGTTTTATTGTTATGCCTATTTATAGCTTTCTTGCCAAAGTCTGATAAGTTAAACATGGTTTATTTGCAAGTTAAATATAAAACATTCAAATGAGAATGACTACTGTGCATCGTATTGCTAATAACAAGCCTAGAAACTCTAAAATTCAGATGGATCTTCTTCAGAATTTTTCAATTTTTTGAATAACACTTGACCCAACAATGTCGTCGTCGATCGAGAGCTCCAACAAGTCCACATTAAAATGCTATTCGATGCCAGCTCTACTGTAGGCCCTAGTGAGAATACTAAAAAAAACAATGAATGAAAAATGACAATCGTCATAGTTCTGTTTTGATATTCTTGTTCTTGCGTTGCGAAGTTCTTTACCTTAAATCTGTAGGCTAGTACAACCAGCTCCCCTAACGTACGCAAGCTCGACTTCTTCTGGTATTCAGCAAGTCAACTTGCGTAATGCTAGGTAACCTTGAGGCAGTAACGTGTAAGTAGTCCACGAGTAAATGTGTGCTCATTTAGTAATTATCCCAACATTAGTTATCAGACTTCCACCCGGGACTTCGACTTTTTACTACAGGTATGGGAGATAAAGAGCGTTGACTGTGGTCCAAAAACATGTTTTGATCTGGGAATTTGAGGAATTTTTAGGTCTTCTTCGCTGGCTTCATTTTCTGATATTGAAAAAGAAACCTTGGCAAAATATACATCCAAATGAACCCTGGTTTCATTGAAATAATTCATTATCAACTGTTTAAGCTTTATACTTACCTCAATGAGCCAAAATAAGCAAATATATCTTCACGTTTGAATGTTTTAAAAAGGGCTTGCTCAGCTAAAATGCTAATGCGCATGCGCGCAGGTGGAAAAAGTATGGCGGCCGGAAATGAAGAAGATTTTGGGGGCGAGTTGAAAAACTCAAAATTGCCACCTGAAGACGGTGATATCACCGTGAAAAAGCCACAAGCAACTCAACATGAACTTTTGATAGACGAAATAGAATCACTTGAAGGACACTTAAGTAACACATTACGGTAATAATTTACTTATACCAAAAACTTTTAACAATTTTTACCTGGAAAAAGTGGGTCAATTTTTAGATCATGAGGAAGTGAAGATTATCAATATTTACAACTGTTTACAAATAGTATACGTCTTTCCTAGGTGAATATGATATCTATATTATGTATTCTTTCTAAAAACATACCTGTATAGAAACTTGGCATAATATATGAAGCCACAGATGGCGTTGAATATTGCTCATTTTCATAATTTCTGATATTCATAATGGAGTATGGCCTTGACTGGCATGTTAGAAAGAATATTGAATGTGCAGAAAGTGATCATTTTGAATGGATATTATGGGTCAAATGATGCCTAGCTGACATGGCAGATTGGTTTTCTGAGTATAGGACTGTTGAACTCCTAGGCAATCATGAATGTTTACTCCGAGAAGTGGAATCAGGCAATCCAGGAAGTATGGGACTTGTCATCAGGTATAGGATGTTTACAATTGACACCGGCTAATTTTCATGTCATACGATATGAGTTCATTTATAATTTAGTTTCCTCTACATAATGTTCAGTATTGAGTGTGATATAATCATGCAAGTACCTGTTGGACCATCCCTGGTGTCATAATATTTTGATCTATTTTCTTATATACATGTAGTCCTGCAGAATACTGCACATTTCAGATTTTAGGCAAATTGTAACAACGTTTATGAATTACATTTCCCTTTTGAGCTAAAAAGATCAATTTACCTTCAGTCTGCCTTGATCAGAAAATATCCTAGATAAAATATCCTATAACAATTTAAAGCATAATGTTATTAAGAAAACATAATGTTTATTTCAATTTTAACACCACAATGTGGCTAAGCATCTTTTTGAAAGAACTTGTCTTCAATGAAGATTCGCGCCCAAGGACGCAACTTAACATTGTCTAACAATGAATCTGATCTTGAAGGATGTCTTGATTTTCACTTCAAATTTTGAATCACGAGTTTTGGTCTTATAAAATAACATGACAAAAAATTCTAAACACACAAGAAGTGATCAAGTTATTAGTCAAGTCTTAAATTGGATTGCTGCTCATGAATTTACAACCAGTTTATGACAATAATGACATTCTAACATAGGAATATATCAAGTTTGCTTTCTGGGAGCCAATCCTCCTTGATCTGTCATAATATTTATTGATCAATGCTATTTTTCTTGTGTCATTCGTAACAAAACAACTTGTTTTTCAGACTCTATTGCTAAAAGTTTTTGATTTTTAAAGGTGCCATATTGTATTAAAACCCTCAATTAACCTGTAACCTCAAGTAAAATCCTGTGAAGTTGGGTTAACTGAACATTTGAGCTAGTTTAGATGCTCAGTTAACACACAGTCCCTAGTAAAGGTTTATTTGTAGCTGATATAGGGACTATACTAGTATAAGAAGAGTGGTACCTGATGAAATTATATTTATAGATGTAGAATGTTTCCCTGTGGCTTGATTCAAAGTTATAGTTATTTCTTTTGAATTCAACATTCTTTCTTCTTTTTGTCTGCTCATTTCCCAAATTTTCAGGGATGTTTCTTGATATATTTTTGTTTCATATTCTCACTCTGCAGACTGTGCTATACGTAAACAAGCGGTGCGGATATCATGTACGCAAGGTGCCAAAGACATAGCGCCTATTACGCAAAATATGCACATGCGTACCAAATGAATTTGAAAAAAATTAAAAATGTGTTAAAATGCTTTAATTTATTTGCAAATTTATTGATGCTTCCTACCGCATCTGTATGTTTACCATTGTCAACATTTAAAGTTGATAAAAACGCTAAGATTCCATCAAATAACGTCCTTGAAAAAAATTTCGCGGGGAGCATACCCCAGGACCCCCGACGATGCGCGACCTGCAATCAGGCATCCCCGAGTGTGCGTACCAACTCAAAATATAGCCCTACGCCCATGGGTGCAGATATTAACAGTCATTTTTAAATTTGATTTTGTGATATTTCACCAACTTAGGCATGCTGGGTACTCAATCAATTCATACATGTGTACAAAAAAAGGAAATTGTATAAATATGTGTGTAGTTCATTCTATAGGGACACATAAAGCAATAATACTCTCTCCAAAGCAAATAATTTGAAATTGCAGCTGTTTCACAGCTTAAACAGCATTCATTCAATATTGGTGATCGAGATGACCTATCAAAACAAATTATATTTGCATATTGAAAGTTTAAAGGTTTCTGTGTAATTTTATACAAAATGGGAAACATTGAACAAAAATTTGCTACCTCTAAACAAGATGTGTGGATATCTGACAAGTGACTATATCCGCACTACTTGTTTAGTGGTAGCACATATCCAATAAATGTTTTCAATTTTTTAAAATTCACAGAGAAAGTTTATGACTTTCAAAATGCAAAAATAATTTATATCGATTGGTCATCTCGATCACCAATACTGAATGAAGGCTGTAAACTGTGCAATAAAGCAGTAATTTCAAATTCTTTGCTATAGAGCAGAATGGATGGTCCCAAATTTGTAAACAAGCTTCCAGCAACAAGATGTCAGTTTCTGGCTTAACTATATTTTATTGACTTGATATTCTATATTAAGATGAAGAAATATGTACAGAATATGTTGTTGATTAAGACATCATCATGTGCAGTATTTAGGTAATAGATTGTGGAAAGTTAGTAAGAAATGAAACTTATACCAGGAAGAGGTAATTATAAACTGCGAACTATCCGGGGTCACCTGTTCTTATCAGTGTTTTGTTTTATTACAGGGCAGTATACGATGCTGATGATCCCCACAAGTTTATGGATCGTCTGGATCTTCGGATCAAGCATCATGACAAAGAAATTGAGCGTATGTGTAACTACCATTACCAAGGCTTCATTGAGTCCATAAGGGAATTACTTCAAGTCAGAACAGATGCTGAAAGACTCAAGGTTGGTACCTCTGTCAGTCTGTGTCCAGCAAAGTACAGCAAAAACAAATGGGACACCTCTATAAGGTTTTGAACAAATATTGGCATTCTCAATGAATATTAATGCATGTATATCTTGACCAGATAGCTCTATGGCATTCCAAAATCCGATTTAAATGAGTAATTTAGTAATTCTGATTGAGACAATTTGATGTTTTTTCAGAAGTTTTGATATCATAACAAATCAGAGTTAAATTGAAAATATTTGAGCAATTTTGTAAGAAAAATACAGTATAATATTTTGTGAAAACTGTTAACTTTTCAAATATGAGTGTTCACTTTGGAATTAGGAGGTGTTCAGATTTTAACTTTTAACATGGGCTTCAATGGGAGGAAAGGATACCAGAAAAAGTGTTCAGATTGGAAGGTGTTCGGATTAGCCAGGTGTTCGGATATATAGATTTCATTGTTTATTGCTCTCGTTTATTCATTTCTATTCTTTGCCAGGGTTATGTAAAATGAATCTTCAAAGGAAAAATTCAAAATTCGGCATCATAATATCATCCTGGTCCTCCTATCGTGGATAATGTTCTGAATACTTGTTCAATAGTTTGCCATATAAGTAAATCATTCAACCAATTCCAAATAAGATATAAATCATACAATGTATGAGAAGGCAATTCCCAAATATGATCTAATGTGTAAATTCTTGCAGTTCACTGCTACTTCTCAAGTAGTTGAACTAAATGAACTGATAACAAACTCCACTAACAACTAACTTTTTGTGAAACTTACTTTGAACTATCTCATTAAATTCTTTACATATGATTGCAGTAAATGTATGTTTAACCTCTTGAATCACATTTTCTAAAATGGTGTAATGGATTTGGGTCTTAGGATGTATAATTTCTCAGTTATATCCGCATTTACATAAAGGCTGAAGGTCATATAATGGTCAAACTTAATTGTCATTTGTCAACCAATCATGTATTAGTATCTAGCCTTAGTTCTTGGTTTCATAGAGGCTGGTGGTTTTTAGACAGTAGGCACACTTCCATTGTATCTTTCAACCAATCACTTTACAGTCTGGTCATCTTCAGTCCACTTGAGTTTTGGTGCAAGCAGTCTTTTACTATGGAATATTCTCAGTACCAACTGCATTCTAACATTTGCTTCAGTCACTTAACCAATCATTGGTCCATAATTTGTCATGGTCAGTTTTAGGGATGTCCTTTAGTCTTTTAGTACTCAAGTTAACCAATCAATGACTTCAATGCCTTGGTCCCTCTGTACAAGCTGCACTTGGAGTCTCAGGGGTATATAAGTAAATGTTCACCATCAGGACCTCAGTCTCGCTCCTGGCTCGCTTGGGTAAATGACTTCAGCTACTGTACTGTCTTTGTGGATATTTGGACTAGGAATCAATTAAGGAATCAATTAAGGAGTTCAGTTTATCAATTAGTCGGATATATATTTGTCACCATCTTGGATATTTACTTAAGTCGCGGGCACTTGGTTGTTTTTGGGTGAGTTATCAATGCATTATTAACAGGTACTTTCTACTTTGAACACCAGATTTCCTTGACATCATTGTGTGAGATAATTGCAAGCTATCAGTCCAGGTATTGTACTTAGATTTGAGGTTACAGGAGTTGTACTTGTATGCATTTCTTATTGTTATGTAACATGTTCATGTATTTTATGACTTATTATTAAACAATATAGTAATGTTCAGTATTATCGACCTCAAACTTACATGTTTTGTTCGACCCTTATTATTAAATCAACCCCCACGAAACTGCACAACCCCCAACACAACACATTGGGTCGTTACAATATGTTGAAACCAGATAATTTTTCATTTTTGCCAGCTTTTGACATTTTATTACATACATATACAACAGCCGATGTTCAATTTAGTAAAATTAGACGGCAGTGATCATTTCTAGTCATTTTAAAACAATTTTTGTGTAAATTGGATGAAAATTGTTCAAATAAGTGCAATTTTAGTGAAAGATTTTGTGACGGATTATCTCGTCACTCTGGGTTTCAAGGTCATTTCTGGGGTCACTCTGGGTAGTCAAGAGGTTAACAACACTGTGTAATAGAACTTAATGTATGTTTTACAGTGCATATTGTACGAAACTCTGCAACTGATCTCAGTAATTGTCTGATTCATTTTTGTGTTTTATATTCAAGGCAGAATCAAAAGACATGTAGAATACAATTGACCTGTTATTACATTCTCCACTGTCTCTGAATCTCCTACAAAAGATCTGTGATAACTCATTAAATGTTAAACACCTGCATACATGTGTGTAAAAATTTACTTTCTCGATAACAAATTACGAACTCTGGGAATTTTTAGAAGCAGATACGACAAAAATTTCTAAAATTGATACGATTTTTTGGAAAGGCTGCCCACTAGAGCTGAATCTGCTATTAGAACATGTCCACAGTGACTGCTTCTGTGTCTGGCTAAATTAAGATAATCTGTAAGATGGCACCTGGTACACTGTAACTTTGATTTATAGGATGAAATACAGTCACTTAATAGCAAGCTCCAAAGCAGTGGAGAAGAAATTGTACAGAAGGGTGAAGCGCTTATCAAAGGACGTAAAACACAAAGAAACATCGCATCTGCCATAGAAAGTCTAACTATGTGTCTTCCAGTGCTAGAGACATATGGAAAACTGAAGGAACAAATGAAGACAAAAAGGTAATAAAAACAACAATGATGGTGGAGATGTTATGTCAAAGGTGTTTATAATGCCCAGACAGTCCAATGATAGATCCATACATGAGAATGTTTAGCAATCATAGATGTAGCTAGCTATGAGATAGGCAGAGCCACTGTCACTCTAGAATTAGTTATTTGGCTGAAACTAGGAAAATTATGTCCCATAGAAGTCTCATGTACCACTTGTGGAACCAGTTCCCCTTAGGAAGGGCTAGGGCCCAAAGATATTTTTGGGCCTCAATAATTGTTTTTTGGGCACTTGGCCTTTTTGGGCCTTATTTTTAATATTAGGCTAAATTATCAAAAAAATTAGCCTTAAATTTTGGGCCCAAATTTTGGTTCTTAGGGACCCAAAACGTTTTTATGTAACCACTATTCTTGTGTTATATTCAGGTACTACCCTGCACTCAAGACTTTAGAACAGTTAGAACACACCTATCTCCCAAGGGTCTCCAAGTACAGATTCTCACAAATAATGAGTGAGACGATACCGCATCTGAGAGAACGTATCAAAGATGCCTCAATGTCCGACCTGAAAGATTTCTTAGAGAACATCAGGAAATATTCTGCAAGAATAGGTGAAGTGGCTATGAAGCAGGTAGGTCACCTTTAGATGACAGCATAAAACCCTTTGCAACAATTTTACAAAGTTAGAAACTCACAGCAGCCTGACTGCCATGGCAATCACTCTTTACACTTGGCAGTGAACTTGGCAAACGATTCCTACTAGGCAATGGACTGATTGCCAGTGTGTTAAACTGTAGCAATCATGTTTTCAACCTTCGTCATGAAATATGCAATTTTACCCAATTGGCATACATGGGGTCCATTTTCCAAAACATTGTATTTATGAATCATTTGTATTTACGAATCATTTGTATTTACAAATCATTAGTCAATTTTCTGTTTTGCAAATGTTGTATTCTCTAAATCTGGGAAAGAATAACTGTTTGTGAACCCATAATTTTATGAATGAACCCATAATTCGGAATGAAGAGATAAAAATATTGTTTTGATAGAATACTGATATTTCCATAGGCGGCAGAATTGAATGGACTCGATCCTGAACTAGCCAGAATGAAGCGTAAAGGCCCCATCAAGAAATCAACCAAGCCAAAAGTGATCAAAGTTAACGAAAAACCCAAAATCCACCGCAGATTAGAAAAAGAACCAGAGAACCCATTTGATGAACCAAAGGCAAAAGATTCAAAGAATCCATTTGATGATGATGACAATGATAGTGGGAATCCCTTTGGAGATGATGACGATGATGATGACATGGTAGGGGTTTAATAATTACATGCAAATTCAACAACTTCAACAGATGGTGAAATAGGTATTTTATCCCATGTAAAAGCCTCTGTAAGTTTTGATAGAAATTGTTAATTTTTTTTAAAAGGTTACATTTTATCTGATTTCAGAACCCGTTTAATGATGACCTAAATCCATTTGCTGACAAAATGAACCCATTTGCTGACAAAACCAACCCATTTGCGGACAAAACAAATCCATTTGCTGAAGAGAATGGTTTGAATGGAGCAGAGCCTGCACCAGAAAAGGTTGACTCGGAGGAAGAGTATGATGAATTTGAAGAGGAAGTGATAAGAATTAGTCAGATGGGATATGTTACAAGACAGGTGTGCATTGATGTTTTGACCTAAATATTCTGTAAATATATACATGCCCCGTATTTGATACAAACTACTTGTTTTCAATCAGCTTAATACTGAGCCATTTTGAAAATGCGACTTCATTTTTATGATAATGAGATAAACTAAAGGTTATTAATGAACAGCATTGGCATTTTCATGTTTATTTTTAGATATATTGGCCTCCCTGTAAGTTTTCCAAAGCATTCATATTTTGATGTTTTAATTGTTTTAGGAGTTGAGTGCTCAAGACATGGTTGATTTTGCACCTGTGTATAGATGTCTCCACATATACCAAGTCCTGGTGAGTGACATGCAGTACTCTAATAGGGGCTCTACAGAATGAAAATGAAAGTTAAATTGTCCAATTTTACATTTTAGAACAGACTTTCAGAACATCTCCCTATCCATGTTCTGACTTTAGCTTGATAATGATGATTTACCCAATATTATTACTGATTTAAATTGCAAAAGCTAACCTAATAAGGGTATCAATTACAATCACCTCAGTTATATTCCCCTTTATCAAGTTACTAAATCTGTTCCCATTCATTATGATATTCATTGCCAAAAGAATGTACTTTCAAGTACTTCGTGATCAGAATTGCCATAAACTTGATATTCTTCACCATCTTCCCATGTGATTACTATTATATTCACACTATAATCTTATATTGTAGGCATCTAAAGAAACATTTGAGAATTATTACAGAAAACAAAGGAGGAAACAAGCAAGGCTCTCCCTTACTCCACCTCCAAACATGGTCAGTATTATTTACAATTGGTGGTTATAAATAGCAACATGTAGTTATAATACATGATACAAACAACCATAGAGCTCCTGTTGTATACTATATTTCACAGAGAACGCATTGTAGCAAGAATCCATAAAATCAATTAAGACCACCACATTCATCAGAAAATATTCAAAATCTATATGCTTAAAAGTTAACCTAAGTAAAATATGGAATTGCAAATTTTATTATTTAATTTTGATAAATGATGAAAAGCAATTGATAACATATACCCTATGTGTATAAACAGTCAGAAACTAAACATGTAGTTCAGTCATAAAATGCTATCATTGCTCTATTTCAGCATGAAACGTTAGAAGGATATAAGAAATACTTCCATGATATTATAGGGTGAGTAATTGTCTATTTGCTAGATGAATTCAAGAAAAGCTATAAAAATTTATTTTAAATTTATTGAGATTTATACATTCAAATATGATCATATTTACACTCCAAATATTTTCCAATATGATATATTGTGTGCAATCAGTTGATTTGTATCATGCTTTAGTGTTTTTATTTTAGTTTTTTTGTGGTGGAAGATCATATTATGAACACAACCAGTGGTCTAGTCAACAGGGCATACATGGATGAACTATGGGACATGGCCCTTGCCAAAATTATTGCAGTCTTAAGAACACATTCAGTAAGTGTTTTCAATTTATCCATTATATACACAAAATAGTAATTGTCTTTAATTCATTCATAATATACACAAAAGAGTGTTTTCAATATCATACACACAAAGAGTTTTTAATTCATTCTGAATATGCACAAAAGAGTAATAGGTATTTTCAATTCATTTATAATATACACAAAAGAGTGTCAATATAATACACACAGAATAACTGATTTCCAGGCCTACTGCGTAGATGTGAGTCTAATGCTACAAATCAAGCAGCTAATTGTGCTCTTCTGTCACACACTAAGGGTAAATACCTAATATTTTTACCTGGACAATAAAGAAATTGAATATTGGCAGAATAAGAAGGGGAGGAGTAATCCAAGAGAGAAATCACAACAACATATTTGCATTACATATGGATCTGTTTTATTTAATATTTAGTTGTTTAGTTTATTTTTTGCCATTTTTGATCAGAATTCAGTCGGACATAAATAACATTGTCTGACATGCAGACTTTTAACTCTTTGTGTACATTTCATTTATTCTTTAGAGCACAATAACATTAGATTCATATTTTCTAGGGCTATGGGTTCACAGTGAGTCAACTCTATGACCTACTATTAGAGATACGTGACCAGTACAATGAAATTCTGAACAAAAAATGGATAGAGATTTTTGATGAGATCTTTACAGAGGATAACTATACCCCAATTATGGTTGAGACGTTAGATGAATACACAGACATCTTAGAGAGGTATCCATTCAGGGAACATGTGCCATCTGCTGTAAGTATTTTTTGTTTATTATAGTCTTTTGCCTATATAAACTTTACACGTTGAAATTCATTGAATGTACAGTATCTATGCTTTCACATTTTACAAGATTTGAAAGTAGATGGAAAACCTTGGTTTTTCTAGTTTCAAGGTCGTTCATGCACTAACCTCAACGGATTGAACAATAAATTATTTTATTGCTCCAAATCTGTTAATCATTACCTTCTTTATAATAAAGTATTGAGTCATAGAGTTTTAATGCTTCAATTTACATTTGAATATTATGTAACACATTGTCACGCAACATGTAATAGAAGACGTAAACACATATGAGTGCTAATATAATTCTAATGTGACAACATTCTTGAAAGAATGAAGAATAGCCACCACTTTATTACGAAAAAATCTTTCAGCCTATGTCACATTTGTTCTATGACGCACATGTGGTGGGTGGTCTTAGCTTCACAAAGTCAATAAAGAAAATCTACAGTGCACTGCTTATCCCTAAATTTTACAGAACTCAAAATCAAACCACCGTCATTTTTATGTCACCATCAGAAGTGATGACATATTGATATAGTCTCCAACCTTTTTGGCTGGTGCTCAGTGGCTGGTGTTTGGCATTTATTACAGTGGTCATCATATTGTAACAAATGGCAGGTGGTGACATTTTGCATGTTAATGCCTAGGTTTTCTTTAAGATTGTGTACCCAGTTAAATATTTCAAGACGACCAAGAAGTGATCAAAGTTTTAGTTTAAAGCCTTTTGATTGCTTTCATGAATTTATCACCAGTATCAAGGGTTTTATAAGACATAATATTTTAATGTCCTGATGTTTCTACATTTTTGTATATTTGTACTGTCATGTATATATTTAGTAGTTTCATTTTTTGTTATAATCTACAATCATGTGTAATTATTGAAATGTTAAAGTGTTTGGCATATAAAGAAGTAAATGTATGAATTGTATGAAGAAAACCTTGTCTATTCAGGCAGGCTTTAGTGAAATATTCCTGTCAAAAGTGCAAAATGTAGCAATAAAAGAAATTAGCACCTCTATATTCAGAACTACGTCATTTAGTGTTAATTGAAAGGAGTCCTACGCACGATAAGAGACAGTGTACGTATGTGTGTACATTGACCTGTATTTTTTATTTGTTTTTCATTGATTATAATAAAAACTAACAGGAAACAGATGACTGTAAGTTTTTCTGCATTACAGGAACAATTTCCGACTCAACTTCCTTTCTCAGAGATGGTTCCAAATGTCTATGAACAAGTGAAGCACTTTATACATTCATGCATTAAATTCTCTGAGGATCTACATCTAAGGTGAGGAGCCTTGTTATTAATTTATAGGGAAGTTCTATGATGATAGTTTTATTTACATATTTAAAGTTACAGCGCTCTCACCTGGAAATACTTAGGGTGTGGTTGAAACATCTTCAGCATAACTGTTCAATCGTGATAAATCATATTTATGTTATATTTATCCTTTTCACATGCTATTATTGTGTATTCAGTCAAGTTAAGACTGTTGAAACAGTCATCATTGGCCAATAGATTGTGGTCGGAGCTAAATAGAATGTGGTGCTGCGCCACAGTCTAAAAGCCTAGCAAGAGCCCTGATTTGTAAATGTAGTCGTAATTTGTAAATAAAAATTATACAGTTAACTACAAGATGATTCTAATCTTTTTCTTCAATGTTTAGGGGCGAAACACAGTGTACCTTTTTTGTAGTTGTGTATGGTTTGGAGTTGCTTGACTGTCAATTTTATAAATTATATAATAGAGAGGTTAAGCTACACGTCCAAATGCAAACTGTGAACCTGAACGCGTAAGTAAGCTTATTGTACTAAGCCCCGGGTATCAAATATTAGACTTGCCTATTTATATTATACGGAATGAAACAAGACGATCACATTTGAAGTTGCCATTTACCCATTAAAATGTATTCTTATTTCCAATTAAGGATTGGGGTTTAACAATATAACAAGCAAGATTTTCTGTATCAAATATTGACTCCTGGGCCATCCTAGAACAAAGATAAAATCAATCACTTAATGAGCGACGTGTAATCACTCATCTACACGTAAAAATCTGTAACTTTCACGCTTACCTGTAAAAAGTAGACTAATCTGACGTCATAATTCTGCGCGCATAGAAGTACACGTTCATGCTTTGTTGAATACGCGTCTGTAAAGTGCACCAATATGATAATCTCATGTAAAAACCTATCAACTTCACTCTGGCCCACAACAGGAAATAAACAAATCTGACGTCATTTATCTGCGTGCACATTGAAGTTCACGTTCAAGTTTTGTTGAATACGTGTAGCTTAACCTCTCTACAAAGCTGCCATCTATACAACTCTTATTGACTGAGTAACCAAAGCAACTCCAAACATATAAATGTTTTTATTTCATTTGAATCTTCATGGCTAGATACATAACAATTTTTTTGTTTCAAAACACAAAAACATTTGTGTAGTTTATGAAATGTGTTGTGGAGACTCAGGGTAAATAAAAGAAATATACGTACAGTATATGAAAGGTTAAGAAACTCAATATTTCTAAATGTCAGAATCTCTGTACTTGCCCTTATTTTATCTGGCTAAGATATATGGTTTGTTGCTATTTTTATATCCAGGCACTACCCTGAGTAGAAGTAAATTTTACCTTGATGTTGTTAATATAACGGTAACAATTAACATCTACATATGACTTAATGCTGTGGTATGTTTCAGCCATACAGAGATAGATGATATGGTACGGAAATCTGCCAACATTCTCCTCACTAGGACACTTAGTGGCTGTCTCTCATCTCTTATTCGCCAAAACCTCACTCTTTTGCAGGTATATCCATGTTCAGATTTTTGCCAAGTTCAATTAAATTGTGATGCAATGTATGCTGTATGCACTTGTTTTAAAATGTTGAAATACTCGACATTTAATCTTCATACTTAATACTTCAATCATTAAGCCGTATACCATCAATATACTAGATGCTAGTAGAAACAATCTTGATTTAAATCATTAAATACTCAAAATTCAGTCAAAGTGATGTCATATTTGAAATCTACATGTAAAAGTACATCTAGAAATATGGTTTCGAAAATTATTATTTCTTGCAAAATGTGACTTCTAGTTTGGGTTGATTCCCCATAGACCCCATGTTACAAAGTCACAAAAAGTGAAATATATTTTCTTGTATTGGACAGATAACATTTTCTTTTACTGGACATATTTTAATTTGCTTACTATTAGATACATAAGGGTTTTATGAAAATTGAACTACTAAAACAGATGTGATTTAAGTTAAACGGAACTATACTTGCCATGCTATCTGACCCGAATGAGCCACCTGGTGGTGAAACTGGTAACTACCTACTCGCATCTGCGTTATTGGTGACAACTACATTAAAATGCTCCAAAAAATTCTGGAAATCAGACATTTTCAAAGGAAATTGCCATGCTTAGGATAACATTAACATTAACTTAAATAATGATCAAAACCACAACATAAGTTTGTGAATTTCCAGTCAGTTATCAAAAAAATAATATAGGTCTTTAAATAGGGAGCTCATCATTCATCCCGAGCTATCTAAAAATTTCTGTTTTCATTGAAACTCTTTTATTTCTGAGATGTTTCCTTTGTTTAGAATTGTGAGCATACAATTACTGAATTATTTGCCTCCAAGATTTATAGTTGTAGTTTTGTGGTAATCAAATGTTCCCAAAATAATTATTAATAATCTTTAGTGGTCACACTGACTCTCTAGAACATGATCTTGATTATATGATACTGAATTAGATAGTGATGCTGAATCATGAAATCTGTTGTGCACTGTACCGTACCATCTTTAAATGTAATTAAATTTAAAAGTGATTTTCATTTCAGTTAATCCAAATATCAATCAACATGAACTACCTGGAGAAGTCATGTGGTTGCCTGGAAGACTTTATCTCAGAAATTACTGGGTGAGTACTTTGTTCATGTATTAGTTAGGATTGAGATTGGAAACAGTGAACATTTTGCACAACAATGGTTTTCTGTTGTTTAACACCATTTTGTGAATGTGTGAAAGTTAGCTCACCACTTTATTCTAGTTATAAAACTCAAATAAAAAAACACAAAAAGCTATCGAAGCAAGAAAGATCCACCACAAGGGGTGACATATTGTTGTGGTCTCGAACTTTTTTGTGAAGTTTGTTTGGCAGTTGGTGTTTGGCATCTGTAACAAATGACAGGTGGTTACATTTTGTCATGTTGATGCCTTGTTGTCACTTAAGATCACTTATGTTGTATTTTCAGTGCTGAAAAAGACAGTATACATGTGGCTCGACTGCAGGGCACGATGATGTTCAAAGATGCCAAATCTGAAGCTGAAGGACAAATATATAGAATTATTAATACAAAAATAGATGAATTTTTAGAACTTGGTAAGCATTAAAGTGTTACAATTACATATTTAAAAAAAAATGCATTTCTGAGTGAAATCTTAAGAGATGGCAACCTACTAAAATTGAACACTACATTTTTAAGTGATCAATATTGACCATATCAAAACATTTTTCTGTATTTTGCCAAACATGTAAAGTATATGTTGGTTATAGCTACCATATTAGGAGATATATGGTCCGGCAAGGAATATCCCTTTAAATGAGTTCTGGAAAAATTACTGGAAAAGTTACCATTCACTTGCTGACACATGATGTAGAAGGCATTATAAAGATTTGATCAAATTTTCAGCCAACTATGACTGGATGATGGCTGAGTCTAAGGGGCGAGCTAGTGGCTACTTAATGGATCTCATTGCCTATCTACAGAGTACATTTCTCTCATTCACAAATTTGCCAGTAAGTATTATAAAGAAATACTGTATAATGTTGTGTATTAACAATTTTAAAAGCAAAAATATTTGTATCTACAAAGTCTGCTTAACTGCTCCCTGTATTATTATGTGGTGACATATAACTTTTTTGTGTTCAGTGGTTGGCATTTGGCATCTGTAACAAATGGAAGGTAGCGACATTTTGCATGTTATTGCCTCGTTTAATTTTTGTCATACATGTTTTGGAACAAGTTAAGTAAAATCCAATTATGATGATTCATTAGAAATATAGGGCAGTCTGTAATTCTGACCTTAAATCAACTTGGAATGTTTTTTATTAATTTTTTTTATGATCATGTAGAAGTTTAAATCTTTAACTTACAAAACACTGGCTACACTCTTATATTAAGTCTGTAATCTCTCCTATTTAGGGACATTTATATTGCTTTCATTCATTGATATTTTATATTACAGGGCAAGGTTGCACAGACAGCATGTATGTCAGCGTGTAAACACATAGCTGGGCAACTTGTAGACTTCCTCATGGATGCTGAAGTGAAGGCAGTCTCAATGGGTGCACTCCAGCAACTCAACCTAGACCTCATGCAGTGTGAACGTAAGTACAATATTTATATGCGCTGCTTCCTATTCATTTAGGTACTGTGTTTCTGTATCTATTGCCATTGTTATACTGCATTTAGACACTTGGTTCAATCTGGTGTCTTAGTACTTTTGGTGTCTTCTAAGGAAGTGTTGTAAAGATGTTGGTGGTTATGTTTCGAAAATTAGAAGTAAATTATGTGTTTTTTTTATGAATACAACCATTGGCGAGTTATATCCCTATAAGAGTAACCGATAATATCCTTAGGAAGCCGTTGATGATGTTAGGCACATCATTTTATGAAAAATTAGTATTAACCTCTAGAATAAAACTATGTCTATGAGGGATGTCACGGGACAAAAATATTTTGGGACGGGACGGGAATTATCCACTTCGGGACGGAACGGGACATAACCAATAAATTGGTTAATAAGTTTAAAACAGTTCAACAACTTACATTTTCCGTCTACTTCCGCTTATGCTTATGCAGCGCGGATCTTTTGAACGTCATAAGAGGGCTGCACATGTTGCGCAAAAACTTGTAATCTGAGATTAATTTTAAGTTGTTACCTTTCTCACTGATGAAGATCTTTGTTATTGTTTAAATTAAAGCATATTTCAAATGGAAACACTGTTATCGATAAAACTACATGTTCTGTCCTGAATTTTCGTTTATTATAATCACTTATAGTATTTGCCACTAGATGGCATTTACGCATGAACGTAATCCCGCAGATAAGTAGTAAAAACGAAAGAAAATTCTAGTTTATATCATATTTATTGTGCATTTGGGACGATTTAGGGTAATATACAGGAGAAATAGTATGTTCTGAGCATGGACTGAAATCTTCGGTACATGGGGGTTGTCCCATCCCGTGACCAAAGTCCCGAGGGACGGGACAATATCGGGAAACCGTGACATCCCTAATGTCTCTGCAGTTTAAAATGAAAATCATTGTTTTTTGGACTTCGAACTCTTCGATTTTAGTTCTTTTTTTTGCAATTCATAGAAATAGCCTTCAAGCTTTTCAGTATGTTCCTTTGCTGGTAGTTATATATTAACCTTAAATGAATTAGAAGGGATAGAGATTGTAAAATGTTGGAAGCAATCATTTCAAAAGGCAATATTTCCTTTGCAATCCTAATTATGTTTTCTGAAAAAAGAATACCGTATATATAGAGATTATCCTATATGAGGTTCAGGATATTGGGACTATCCCGAGGCAGATATACTATATCTGCCTGCTCAGAGCAGGACGTAAAGCTTTATTTGCCTGCTGATGAAAATATAGGTTTTTACAAACCTGCACTATGTACCTGTAATACGTCCAAGTATGGGATGAATAAATATATTCTTTTAATACATATACTATTTATTTCATTATTTCTTTTACACATATAATAATGGCTTGCCAAAAGAATGAATAGAGGTATCTAGTCAAATATAGGAATGATCGACAGATAAACTTAAAAGTGAGAGATAATCCTGAAATATTTGCCCTCAAGATATCTAGTTTAGGAGCTTTAAAATGCATATCCAATATAAAGGGTGGGCAGAAATGCCTTTGATTTATCAAAATATACTCCAGGCAATAAGAGCAACAAGAAATTAGTATATACCATAGGAAATTTCCATCAATTAAATCTATTAAACAGACAGATGTGTCTAATAGTTATCTTGAATCTCTCTCTTTAGGTCTAGGATGCCACAAAAATTGCATTATGTGTAGATGTATTCCATATTTCTAGTATATATGTATAATGTTCAAAGCAGCACGATGTCAGTCGGCTGTTAGTTAATATCAATTTGGAATTATTTACAGTTATTGTTTCATGTATCATATTGTATTGTATTGTATTATATTATATTGATTTGTGTGTATTGTCCATTGTTTAATTTATTTTTCATTATATATCTTCATATCAGGAAAATATTGTTTAAGTACTCTTGCGAAATATTTGTTAATATGTTAAAAATAGAAGATACATTATGCCATCGTATCAGGTGAATATTTTTCCGAGAAATTTGTTTTGATGGAAAATGCTTATTTCTAGGAATGTAAAAATTATTCTGCCAAGGGTGGTAAATGCTTTGTGTCAACAAGTCTGTAAAATTATGAAGTGTTGTCAAAGTATGAAGTACTTTATGAAAGATTCTCAGGCTATCTTCAATCTTTTACATTCCCCTCGAAGGCCAAATGGAAAAGCTATGTGAATGATCAAATCAATATTAACGAAACTGGAAACTGGCAACGCTTGCTCTCCAATAATACAAAATTAAACAGATTTGCGCAAATTCAGACTGAACTTAAACCAGCAATACATTGGGTAGCTGGCAGGAAATATCCTCTTAAAACATGGGCATTTGCAATACTTCTACATTTGGCTTCAAGGGAACTTCCAGATGACGATTTCAATACGCAATGTCTGAGGTGCGGTAGAACCACCAATGATACTGTCAAACACATGATAGTAGAATGTCAATTTTTAATTGCATTAAGAAATGAAATGTATGAAAATATTATAAATAGCATCTCTGTGCATCAGTCATGTGAACTCCTAAACAGTGAAGATGACATAATCCTAGAATTTCTCCTTGGAGGACGCTCCGATATTTTGCATACAATTGATGATGCCACATCAATAAAATTGCTTAACATATGTGCAACATACATCAATCTGATGATGTACAGATTCACCAACACTTGTTTAGAATAATACTGCACAGGTAGTACAGATCATCTACCTATATTTTTAAAAGAAAGTCACACATCTGTACATACTATGATACTATAAATAGTTTTCTTATTATAATTTTATTTTGATATAATGTAAATTGCTGCTTATTAATGTTGTAAATCTTCATAATGAAGGAAATAAATCAATACAATACAATACATGGAAGTTATTAGTGCAAATATGTATGAAAATACAATTGTTAGAATAGTCATATGAAATTCATAAAAATAATGAATCTTCATTTGTTAATTGCCTTCTGAAGTGCATTCATGTATCCATAATAAACAGATTCATAGGTGACACTTTTTTCACATAAAGATTATGTCCTAAAATACATGAATTATTGAATGAAATTGATTCCTTTTGGTATTTACTTATTTGAAGGTTTAAATCAAAATGTAATATTGAATGTAATATGGAATGAAATGTACCCACATTAAATGCCCTAATTTCACTTATTTTATATAAGATACAAAATTCAGTAAATAATCCTCCACATTTGTATTATTAAACAACTCATGAGTATTTATGGACTTATAAGGTATACTACGGCAGCAATAATATTTTTGTGTATCTTAACGCCTATCTCTACACTATAATTACTTAGATAAGTCATCAAACGTGAATCACTTATTGCTTAGGCGTAGGACTCAATGAGAAGTGGTGAGGGGGCTGTTATAATCTAAGAAGATCAACAGATCAACAGGCTTTTTAACACATATAGAATAATAGTTCATCGTGAACTGGTCATCCTGATCCCAAATATCATGTTCACCTATGATGATAAATTGAATTCATTTTATACTATTTCGTATTCAATGTCTGTTAACATGAAATTGTTACGTTGTTTCATTCGTTAAAAACAGCCATTTGAATTTGTGTTGTTTATTTGATAGAATTGCCTGTTTGATGAATTATTTTGGTTGTCTGTTATTATAACATAACATTATTTAGATAATATGATACAGTGAAATGATATGTCAGAATGAAATAAAGGTTTTATTTCAAGGACACAATTTATTATATTTTCCTCATGGTCTGAGGGACAATATGATATTGTCCCATGGAATAAAAGGCATATTTATTCCCTCCCAACAAATAACCTTTACATGTTTATTGTTAACTTTGAATTTGATTCGTAGTGTGATATTCAATTAACCTTTGCTGGTTAATAATGACACACTTCTTAATTTCCTTTTGAAGTTACTTTTATACACTTAACAAAGACTGTTTATATGCTAATTAATGTGTGGAGCTTAACTAAGTGGACTGTTTGAAGTATTTTGAAATATGTTTATTAATATGTATACTGTGTACTTTTAGAGTTTGCCTGCTCAGAGCCTGTGCCAGGATTCAATGATGGTACCCTACAACTGGCTTTCCAAGACCTAAGACAGGTGAACATTTTATTTGAAACCCTTCTCTCTATGAGGGCATGCTTGAAAATCTGATAAATGCAATTATTTAAAATTTAAAAATGTATGAATGCATGAATAGAAATGCATCTAGAAACAGTATGTACATACACCAGGTATATGATGGTGATATGTTATGGCTGAAAAATGATGATCCGCAATCCTATTCCATAAGGGGAAAATTAAATACAACATTTGTATAGTTGTTATGTATAAATTCATTTAAATCGGCATCAGAATAATAATTTCTTCTATGTTTTCTTGTAGCTTTTAGATCTGTTTACATCTTGGGATTGGTCAACATATTTAGCGGACTATGGTCAATCATCGTGCAAATATATCCGAGTACAACCAAGCACTGCGATAGCCCTGCTAGAGAAGTAAGTGCCATCTATATTTGCATATAGTCAGTTGGGTATCCATATAAAGAATAAGCAAGTTGGTCCAGCACATGAATATTACTTCTAGATTTTTGTTTTTTAAAAAGTAATGTTGAATTTCATAAAATTTTTGTTTTTTAAAAAGTAATGTTGAATTTCATTTTAATATTGTTGATAGGAAATGGTTATTTATGACTGACATAGTATATTCTGAAGGATGAAAGTTAAAGTGATAGTTATCTTCTTAATGAAAATATAGCTTTGAAGATGAATCAGTTATTTTATTACTGAGTTTTTAATGTCAAGTGCTTCTTTAAGGTGTTTCTTTTGAAAATAACTCAAAGGTTGATTATGATAGAAATATGACAAAAGTCATAAATCTTAAACATGATTAAGTAGTTACACCCTTAAACATATGCAATTGAAACCCCTATTTTAGCATCCACTCAAGGGGCTTATGTACCCTTTGTGTATTACAGAATGAAAGATGCGGACAAAAAGAAAAATCTTTTTGCATCGTTAAAGAAAAACGAGAGAGACAAGAAAAAGCTTTTAGATACTGTTCTAAAACAACTACGTGGTTTAATGAATGGTGCTACATGATTGAGTACAGTGTTTAGAATTATCCTCCGTATATATATACTCGGCTAGTCGTCCAATATGGTTATCTTCATGAAGGTTTAACCTGCCGAGTAAATGAACAATCAGTGAATATAACATATAAAATGGGACAATCGCGTGATACTGCCGTCAGAACAAGAAAACGAAGAATGGAAGTGTGTATCATGTGTATTGTATATACATATTGGCTTAACTTTTGCATAACCAGTGTTGAATTATTTTGTCTGCCCAGATGTATATGTCTTCAATAAATTATTTATGGTTATTAGTGGTGTTAAGATTGACTATTGTATTACAACTTACCAAGCTAAATACAATTTGCCTGGATTGGATCTGGTTTTAATTATTCAGTATGGGTTATATGTGATTTATGGAATGACTAGCCATAAATGTATATGCATCCTGACTAGACTCACTTATGATAATTAATTTTTATTGTACCTAAAAAGACATGGCATTGTGGTCAGCTTAATAGGCAGGTATGTGGGCAGGAAAATGGCATCAGTATATTTTTAGCCAAACCACTCAATCGAGTGATTTAGGCATTGTCAGGGATGTTTCTTGATGAATAGCCTAAAATTCATGAGTTTTTGGGCAGGCTGTGTAAATTCTAAGATAACCCTTTCAAATTCTATATACTATTTAGATACTAATTGTCCAAATTGTGCTTTGTTTCGATTTAGTCGACTAAGTAAAGCATATTTGCATTATTTGATACTACAGTCAAGTGAGATTTTATGCTGTAAAATACTCTATTGTACATCCATATTGAATTCAATGGCAAAAAAACATGTATAAAAATAATTTGATAGCACTGGAATTCCTCTTCTTGTGCACTCTATGGCATCAAAAATAAAGGTTTATAGAATTATCAGTGGATACTCAATCAAGTTTTAATAATCAATTGTGAAAGTGGCAAAGAAACATTGAAAATTGTGAAATTTGGAGCTTAACCTCTTGAATCCCAAGTTCTAAAATAGGTTGAAACCAGATAATTTTTAATTTTTGCCATTTTTTTGACATTTAACAACATACATATACAACAGACGATGTTCAATTTAGTGAAATTAGACAGCAGAGATCATTTCTAGATATTTAAGGTAATTTTTGTGTAAATTGGAATAAAATTGTTCAAATAAGAGCAATTTTAGTAAAGAATTTTGTGACGGATTATCCGTCACTCTGGGTTTCAAGGTCATTTCTGAGGTGACGAGAAATCTTGTCACTCTGGGGTGTCAAGAGGTTAAGTGTTATGAATTCAGACCCAAGTTCCCTTCAGAATCTCGCCACATGTCAGTAATCTATTCGCTCCCATAATATGGTTGGAACCCTGTAGTGCAGCATTTTCACAAACTTAAGGCAAAGTAAAGAACACTGGTGATGCAAAAGTAGAGACGTGAACACAAATCACGGAAAGTTGTACTTTTGGAAAATAAAATGTACTCAACTGCAATTGTGCAATTATTTAGCTGCAATATTTTTGTACTCTATCTGTAAATAGCTTACCACTCATGTAACATTCCTTATACTTTATTATGTAAATTAGTCTTAAGGCATTGGCATGACTTATAAAATATGAATTCATTTACAATTTTATTAACATAACACAAGATAGTAGTATGTATTGATAACATTTTTGTTTGTTTTTAACATTTAACTCTGTAAAATGTTACTAAACAAAGACCTCTTCATTGAACACATTATTTATCTAGAATGTACATGTATAATCAAAACAGTGTATATGCAAACACTTTTTTATTCCAATTTTTGCTGCATGATTTAAGCTGTAGATGTGAACACTAATTGGAACACTTTTAGCTGATTCAAAAAGCATTCACTTCACTAGTTTTACTGTATGTGTGCCTTTTTCAAAAAGAGTTGTTTCCAAAGGACCAAAAATTACAAATTTTGTCAAAACTTGAAATCTGTTGGTTATTTCCCTCACTGTTTCTCGAAATGGTACTTTTGTATATATGATAAGTACTAAGCAAACATGAGAACTAAGGTGAGCAGAATATGGGACCTTTTTGCATATGGTCAATGTACAACACTACACAAGTAATGATAATTGATTCTACACTGCTTACCTTAATTCTTGTGTATGTTTAATATTTTTACATACAATGTATACAATGATGGAGTTAATACAATGTTATTAAATATGAGGCTTTTGTCTGAGTGTTTCTCCCCAATTCTCCTTTTTAAAGAAATCTAAAATAGAAATTTGAAAAAGTGATAAAAAGAAATCTTCAAAAATTGACACACTCTAGCAATCCATTTTGTCAACAAATTGGGGTCATAATCAGGGGCAGATCTGAAAACTAACAAGGAGGGGCTACATTTCAACTCATAAAAATCTATTTGTCCCCTAAAATTTGGCACTAATTTTGAAAATTTAAGGCCAATTTTCTGTATAATTTGGCCTAGAATTAAAATGTAAGGCCCAAAAAGGCACAGTAATGCCAAAAAGGCCCACTAATAGTGACTATTGTGCCTAAGTTCAGAATGAATTTTTTTATGATCATTCAATCATGCCAATAGTCAATAATTGATTTGATATTATATAAAATTGTGAGGGGATGCAATAATTGACTATGGAAGGGAGAAAGGACATCATGTAACATCTACTATAGCAACCCACACCTTTTGATAGTATAGACAGTAGTTTCATGTAATAAGAAGTAATGCTGAATATGCAATCGAAGAGTTCTCTGTAATAATATATTCTTATTTCAAAAAGAACCAATTGAAGAGACAGTGATCAAGTTCATGAATTGAAAATACCACCTCCACATTAGGGTGGTCCAAAATATGGCGAAAAACCAAATTTCTTTCGGATCATCTTCCTCATTTGACTTACTGTTGTCCATGACCTAAAACACCTGCACACCAAATTTTGAGACCCAAATCCCATGGGAAATTTACCCACGCTTCGACTGAAAAATTCGGTTATTTCATGATTTTTTGCTATTTTCGATAAATTGCCATCTCCTTTTTCCTGGTATAAATGTTTCTATTTTTCCATAATAAACATTTTTGTAGGGCTCTTTATTACTTAATAATACTAGGAGCCCAAACACCAAATTTTGAGACCCAAATCCCATGTGAAATTTACCCATGCTTTGACTGAAAAATTGTGATTTTCACAGTTTTGTCCGATTTTCAATAGATTACTGTCTCCATTTTCCTGGTATAATATGTTTCTATTTTTTCATAATAAATATTTTTGGATGACTCTTTATTACTTCATAATACTAGGAACCCATACACCAAATTTTGAGACCCAAATCCCATGGGAAATTTACCCATGGTTTGACTGAAAAATTGTGATTTTCACATTTTTTCCGATTTTCAATAAATTGTTGTCTCCATTTTCCTGGTACGATATGTTTTTATAATAAACATTTTTGAGGACTCTTTATTACTTCATAATACTAAAAACCCATACACCAAATATCCACCAAATTTTGAGACCCAAATCCAATGAGAACGTTACCCATGCTTTGACTGAAAACTGGTGCTTATGATAGCTTATGATGTCTGTTTTAGGGGCATAATATGTTAATAAACATTATGGTAATTCCTTCTTAATCCAAAGAAACACCTAAATATCAAGACTTTAAGTCTTATTGAAAGGCGACAAATTCAGTAGTTTGGGGAAAATTTAGGATCTTTTACTTGTACATTTATATACTGTGGTGAATATTAAGAAGTGATGACTCGACAGCAACTCAAATGCCTTGAAGATTTGGTTTGTTGGTTTCAGTAGGGATACATCACAGGACTTTGTTTGGATTTGTGTGAGATGTCATATTCTTTCTCACATCTTTGCAGGGTAAGGTCAAATATCAAATTTGATTTTCTTTGGAGAAATGATTTTTTGATTGATCAATCTATCAATGGCATGGTCTCTGTTGTAACCAGTAAGCCTGTACCAAATCTTCAAGGGATTCAAGCTTCCACTGAGCTTTGTCATTTCTCTGAAAATGTTCATGCCCTGAAAGTACACAATGTAGGAGATAGGAAGATCAATGAGAAACACTTAAGGTAATTCTGTATGTTCAGAAATTTTAAGTGGAGTCCAATGTTATTTCTGGAACTCATTCCATACTTGGTCAGCTCTTTCAATTTTACACTGAGTTCAAATATGTAATTAGATTATTAGTTGATGGTTAGTAATTTTCTATAATGTACTATGTGCTATGTTTATACACTGTTTGTGCATCTGAATGGAATGAGCTATGTTTTCCTGAAAAAACACGGGGCTCCAATTAGGAAGCCATTAAAACTGAAAATATGGAATTACCTTAAAGTACTATATAACCATCTTTCACGATGTTACATATGTAAGGCCAAACAGGATAATTAAGACAACGTGTAATACAATTTATTACAAATTGCACATCACACAACAATGATATGGTGCTCTAAACGACAAAAATCAAAAGTATATGATCGAAGCAAACGTGAATTTCCCATGGGGTTCAGGTCTAAACATTTGGTACATATTAAATGTATGGGTTCCTAGTATTAAGAACGTATTAATGTCCTCCTAAAATGTTTAAAAACTAAATATAAGATTAATGTTGATCTATTGAAAATAGGAGAAAATTCGCAGAAAATCACAAATTTTTGGTTGAAGCATGAATTAATTTCTCATGGGGCCAGGGTCTCAAAATTTGGTGCATATTTGGGGTATGGGTTCCTCGTATTATGAAGTAATAAAGAGTCCTCCCAAAATATTTATTATAAAAAATAGAAACATATAATACCAGGAAAATAGAGATGTATTGTATTGTATATGAAATAACCCAATTTTTCAGTCGAAGGGTGGGTAAATTTCCCATGGGATTTGGGTCTCAAAATTTGATGTATGGGTTCCTAAGTATTATGAAGTAATAAAGAGTCATCCAAAAATATTTATTATATAAAGACATCTACCATTTTATACCAGGAAAATGGAGATGGCAATTTATCGAAAATAGCAAAAAATCATGAAATAACCGAATTTTTCAGTTGAAGCGTGGGTAAATTTCCCATGGGATTTGGGTCTCAACATTTGGTGTATGGGTTCCTAGTATTATGAAGTAATAAAGAGTCCTACAAAAATGTTTATTATGAAAAAATAGAAACATATTATACCAGGAAAAGGGAGATGACAATTTATCGAAAATAGCAAAAAATCATGAAATAACCGAATTTTCAGTCGAAGCGTGGGTAAATTTCCCATGTGATTTGGGTCTTAAAATTTGGTGTGTAGGTGTTTTAGGTCATGGACAACAGTAAGTGAAATGAGGAAGATGATCTGAAACAAAGTTGGTTTTTCGCCATATTTTGGACCACCCTACTCCACATATTATATATAGATCGTGATTTTCTTACAAACATGTGTTGACATAATGCATGTTGTTTCATTAGAATTCATAAACAAAGGAAATAGTAGGTGGATGCATGCTTGCTGTTTATTATTAATTATCAAATTTTATGAAAAAATAGCTTTTACAATTATTGCTTCCGTTTTCATTAAAATGTTCCAATGAGTTAGGTCAATATACATTTACTACTACTATCTTGGAAGTTGAATTTCTACTTTATCTGTATACTTAAGATATTTGTGTCAACCTGAGGTAAAAATAGAGTTCCCTTTGAAACAAATACATGTATTCAAATTTTTGACTGGATCACTATCTCTCTGACCTAAAATCTTTAATCGTAAGATATTAGCTGCTCAATGAGGCATTGCTTTTATCTTAGTTAAGCACATACATGTAGATATAAGACTAACATAGCTATATTCTTTGTTTTTTGTCTGTTTAACAGTTTGATTGATGTATATGTTCACATACATTTGATCGTCATGTAGACGTTCATCCTCAAAGATTCACCTCTTTGGTAGGAACTATAACAATGTACGAGGGTTGTCCCAGAAGTAATGCACTATATTCTTTAACTAACAAGTTGCATTGATAATGT